AATTATACTCGTTTAAAGAAAAAAATTAAATAAGAAATATACGTACCAAAGCATGTACTTTAGATTAAAATTAATAAGAAAAATGTTGGGTTGGGGACCGATTAAACAACTCTGGCGATAGTGTAGAGAAAAAAATTGAAACAATATTTTATAAACAAATAAAATATTTCGAGTATAGAACTAACTAGCTAGTAGATATTTGTGGCGGCAGACTTATATCTTGTGTTTATGTAGCTCATTTGAATTATTTTGTTACCACACATCTGAATAAAAATTTGAAGAAGAAACTTTTTCAAACTCAACCTTAATAGTTGATAATGAACAATGTTCTTTGTCCTTAGTGGAACTCTGGGGAGCATTGAGTTGGATATGTATAACAAGTTTGTAACTTTAAATTACTTATCAAAATATTATATTAAAATTTTTTTTTTTTTATAATTAAGTCACAAAAAAAATTTAATATATTTAAATTTCAAAAACTATATAAAATAACATCATTTAATTTAAATTACGTAGGGCCTTTTTAGGAACTAACTCACTAATAGGTAAATACTACTCAATGAACTTAGTTCGTAATTAATATCGCTAGGATCTTCAAATAGAGTTCAGCCTTACAATTGGTATTGTAAACACATATATCATCTCCTAAAATAATCGATATATCGATTATGTGGTGAAAGGTTACCACATAAAAAGGTTGGTAAGGACCAATATTGTCAAGAAATAAATAAAAGCCATGTTTGAAGATAGTTTATTTGGTAAGCAATACTATCACAAACTTTTTGAAGAATCAATGAGACAATGTGACAACCTAACCTAAATAATATTGTTAGCAAACATATGATAACTATATTTGAAAGAGAGTTGAGTTGGTGGGAAACACTTTATTTTATTTTTTTCCTTTATATATAAGTTAGTATATGTCTTTAAAGACCTGATCCGACGTAAATATATACTAATTAATATAGAAGTAAAAGTTATGCTATAATAGAATGATATAGTGTTTGTTTAGACCAATTTATAGATCAATGAAAAGTAGTGTATTAAATTTCAACATCATTTGTAATAATTATTATTATATGTATTTTTGGTTGATTAATATTATTAAACCATTCCATGACAGCTATAAATTCAATAAGGTATGGTTGAAAAATTAACAGTTTTCATAAAATAGCAAATTGTAGTCGACACCTTGATTTACTTCTCTTCCAGTTTGTTTATTCATATAGCTTAAAAAGTACCAGCCATAAAAAAACATTCCTTATGGCAACAAGACCTTAACTAATAGGAACTTCATAGAAATGGATTGAGTCAAAAAACATAGCTTGCTACCCTCGTATGTTAAATGGACATAGTTAAGATATATAGCTGCACATTTATGAATTTATGCTTTCGAAAATGAGATTTGTGTAGTAGACAAAAATGTACTATAACGATTTACTTTTTTTTTAATTTATACCATGAGTAAGTTTAAAGTCCACATATTTCATACAAAAGTGTGAAATATTAAACAAAAATATTAAAATTTTTATATAAAGTCTAACATGAAAAAAATGAGAATATTTGTAATAACTAGATCTGTAATGTATATATCATGCAAATATTGTGGCAGTATTGTTACATTAAAATTCAATTAAAAAACATTACTTAAAAATAGTGAGAAGTTTGTTTGATTAATTAAATAAAATTTGTAAGTAAATTATATATATATTAAAATAAAAAGTATTTAAACATAATTTATAAATAAAATTTGTATCTGAAAAATTATTAGATCATGGGTAGTTGTATTAAATAGTTATATTAAATTGATAGAAAATGAATTACAAATAGTATTATAATAATATATGTATAATAATAATAACGACTGATTAATTATTAAATTTTATATTTAAATTATTATAAAAGTATTATGAGTCTTACCTTAAGCTTGACAAAATAAAAAATATATAACCTATCAAATATTTTAACGTGGCCCTTTGTTTCTCACAGGATCTATTAATATTTGATACCGTAAACATGATTAATAAAATCATAACTAATTTTTAGATTTTAAAAGTTCTAGACATACTCTAGCTTAATTTTTGAGGATTGAACTTATTGGAAAATTTTTTGCTTGAGGCCATACTAGATGAATTTCAAAAGTTAAAAATGTATGTATATAATCAAAACCCTAAAATAAAAAATAGAGCGAAGACAGATTTGGAGTATGATTAAATAATCTTTTTAAACACCTCAGTAGTGATTAATATTTTAATCGTAAAAATTTATTAAATTGTGAAAAAAGTGTTATAAACATCAGTTTTAATCTGCGGAATTAATTTAGTAATGTGTCTAAATTTACATAATAAGTGCTACTGAAGCTCTAAAAATTAACATGAATTTTGGAACTAAGCATATTTGCAATACTGCATTGTGAGAATTAAGATAGATATTTTTATTTAGATATGAAAAGAAAAATGGGTTCTGTTTATTCATCCACTTCGTAGAAAAAAACCAAATTATATTTACTGCTTTTTCTCTGATATGCATAAAAAACATTTATTCAATTGAATAAAGTAGAAAAATATATCCAATTTAATTACTCGTATATCCTTTACATCAGTTTTATGATAAAATTTATTTCTCCTGATGTCGTTATTGTTTTACTTAATTAAATATTTTATTTATGATAAAATAACAATTTGCACGCATATTTTATAAATTCAAAAACGGAATAAAAAGGTATGAGAAAAATATATTTTTAAAAGGACTAAGTAATATGAAAAAATATCGTAAGCCAGTATAAAATAATATTAAAATGTTTAAGCAAAAAATACAATTTTAAGCAAACAATAATGAAAATGCCATATTTCCCTTATCGGAGTATTTTGCATGTATGAATAAAAAGTTGCATATTGCACAAATGTTCGATGCATTTCTGCATTGTTAGAGTCCTGAAATTTTGCAATATTCATTGTTTATTTTAAGGTTCATTTTTATTTTTTGTTTTAATAAAAAGTCGATTTTTCTAGTTTTTGGTATTTACCTTCACATATTTTATTTATTATTTTGTTTTTATGCTGTTCCGAATTCCACTATAAAACAAAAAATATGGATGAAGTCATGTATGGATGAACAATGAGGGCAAATTTGATTTATCTTTAATTGAATATTGTAAAAACAAATTGATTTATAAATATTAATTGAATACAATGGCAGAAATTCGTTGTAATTAACATAAAAAATAAATTTATTTGATAAATTTAATACAATATCTTTTGCAAAAGGTGAATTATTTATTCATTTTATATTGCTGACATGTAGTTTTGGTCATGGATTAAAAGTATTATTTAAAGAAAAATATGGTTTAACTTTAATGTTAAAGAAATTTATTTTAATAATAAAATATATAAAAATAAAAAATATATTAAATTTTTTTTTAATGTTGAATATTTCATTTTTAGGGTATTAATATTTTATTTATATAAGTAATGTTAGATGGTAATTATTAGAAGAAAGATACTATATTATATGTAATATGCATGAAAGAAGTTAATGGTAAACACAATTAACTAAGTCTTCTCTACATCATATTTTTATACTAGTAAGATTTATCTAGACAATGAATGGTTGGTTAGTCGATTAGTAGAAGTAGCTAAACAGCAGCTGAACCCTAATATATAAGGTTATATTTGGGCTGTTGATTTTATGCAATTTAACAGGTCTTTTTTTCACCAAGAAGTAAAACTGCAAATTGTCAAGAAAATACTAAGGAATGAAACTTTAGAACCATTTCTTGTCAAAACTAGGAAACCGCAGTGAAAATGAGTTTCTTTTTTATCTAAGTTTTCACAACTTCAGCAAATAGTATTAAAATGACATAAAAGCACTACAATTAACCTATTCGTTCTCAGTACTTGATCGTATTGTATTAGGGTTAGGTTAATCGTGGTATTATATACATTGTAAGTAACTGCCAGCTAGTATCGGCAGTTTGTATACAATGTAAGAGATTTTAACGATTTCTAAGTGCATATCGTTACCCCAAAAGAAACAACTAAGGTTGGTTAAACTGTTTTTTTTCTCATTTCATACGAATATGAATATTGAATATATTACCGATAACTTCTAATGTAGTAGAAAATATGGTCTTAAGCTATTCGGTCATAGATTTTGATACTGAGAGTCGGTATAGTAAATACTATAAGCATACTTACTTGAAGTAATAAGTTTCAAGTTATTTTGTGAGAGACAATAAGGCTATACCATGCAACAGTTTAAACTACATATTAAATATCACTGTAGCATGTTTATCATATATATATATATAATATAGTATGCTTAGTATTATGGGATTTGAAGATTTTATATATAAATATATGTATAAATAAAAACAAACTAATAGCAACAATAATGAATATATAAAAGCTATAAAAAAATTAATCAATCTAAAAATTTGTTGAGTTTGATTATATTTCTTAAGGATAAGAATTACTGTATTATAAAAACATATTATGTCTGTCTCGACTTTATTATAAAAATAATTTTTTTTTATTTAAGTGGTATATCTCTTCTTTTCTACAAAAAATTTGGTGATACTAGTAGTTTTGTATATATTAAAAAAACGTCTATTAAAAAAATTTGTTTGAACATATATAGAATTATTAATATAGAATAAACTTTTCAAATTTGTTTTAATGTTCCAAAAATTTATAAAAAATATTATTTTATAGTAAAATAAATTGTTAAGCATGCAAAATTGTTTAGTATATAAAAAAAGCAGTAGATTAAAAATATATAAAGATTTCAAGTGCAGTTAGTAGTATGTATTAAAGTATATTCTGTGATAATAAATATAAGTGAAGCATATATATTTAAAAATATAACTGTATATGTACATAAAAACGTCGATGTATGACAGTATGATATCATCAAATAAATTTTGTTATGCTTATGTAGAGCATATAAATATATATGGTATATATATGTAATTATGAAAATATATCAAATCTAATACTCACTATTTTCCATATATGTCTTAGCTTTGTAACCGCCAAAATGGTGGGAGTAGTCGGAGACGAAATGCAAGCCAAGATATGAACCAGCAGTGACATGACGTAGTAGTTTTAGCTTTGAACTCCAATCACCACACAAACGTTTTGGCAACATTTCGGCATCGTTGCCACTACTGCGTATATGGTGATTGCTGTGATGATAATAGGGATTGCCTCTTGGATAATCGGGAGTTTGTATTAAAAAATTCGTGTGAGGCTTATAAAGACTTGAAAATATATGTAAAAGCTTTTGATAGTTTGTTTGAGCGAGATTATAGTTATTGTAATTGTTCGAATATAAATAATTATCATTAATATTAAACGAATTCGAATTCGCATAATTTTCATCATTATTATTATATACATAATTAAAATTATTATCATTATTTAAATTATCATAGAAATTATTATTATTATTATTGTTATTATTATTATTATTTATATTATCATAGTAATTATTATTATTATAATAGTTGTTGGTACTAAAATTAGTGTTAGAATTAGTATTAAAAGTAGACGTAGATGTATAAGATCTTAAACTAGGATTTTCATAAGAACTTCGCTTTCGAAAGGTTTTATTAGTGTTAATGTTATTATTTATATTATTATTAAAATTTTTATGTTTGGAAGATTTTGTTGTTTTTACTGACTCCAAATGTGTTGGTTCTGTTATTTCCAAATAGTCGTAAGTGCAACTAAATAGTAGAAAAGAAAAAGAATTTGAATTTATTAATATTTTTGCTAAGTTAATTTAATAATTTAAAAAAATCTTTTAGTATATAATAAATTAATATTTTTTAACTACCAACTGAAACACTGATACGAGTGAAGATTGTCAATAACAAACTAAAATTATTTTTATTTATTTTTATTTATCTTTATTAACTGATGATCTGGATCGTGTTGTTATATTGTCTTAGTGTTTGTTATGTTCAAACTGATTTATGAAAGTGGGTTTTTAATACCTTATGTTTGAATTCTCTTTTTGTGCTTTTTGGCGATACTACTTTTTATATTTCTGATAGAGTTTCTTCTTGACTATCGCATGTGTCGTTTAAACTTCTATTTACCTATTAGAATTAGTAAAAAAATTTGATGTGATATAGACTTTATCTTGTTTACGGGATCGCTATTAAGTATTGCCGTGTGAAGAGGCTATTAGTTGCTGTATACTAATTTGTTTTAAATGTTAATATTTTTATGTAATCATGCTTAACTCAATTACTTATACCTTAAATTTATTATAAATATTACAAGACCTGATACTAAATAGTATTTTAGGCTTCGTCAAAGATTCTAGGTGGTTTTAAATTCTGAGTTTTTCCTCTATATACGGTAACATAATGGGTCAATAAACCTAAGTGGGTCCCCCAGGGATCGCTGGTATAACCTAACCTAACCTATTGTTGTTGTTTAAATTTATAAATATAAATTATTAAGTTGACTTCTTAACCTATTGTTATGACCCATAAGATACTAATTGTTTCTTTGGTGTTATTCTTTTTAAATAAAAGTATTCAGTAGTGCTAAATTTCTGTTTCTGATACTTCTACCAAGATATTATTGACCTAGCAGGATGTCTTAAAGTAGTTATAACTTTAAAAATATTTTTTCTGTCATACGTAGTTTTTTTTTTTTAATTCTATTGAATCATAAATTTTTGTTATTATCTAGTTATTAAAAAAAAATTTAATTTTTTTACTTTATATTTTATAATAGAAAAAATTATAAAGTCACATAATGTTTTATCTTAATTTTAAACATATTAAGTTTGTAAAATATATTGCCATTATTTCCTTGACATAGTTTATATATTTTTATATTTTTTTAACTTGATATTTCTATCAACAAAAACATTATTTTTGCAATTCCTTAAGAATTCCAAAGTACTTATTTAATAAAAAATTCAACTTACCCAGGTTCATTTTCAATTACTAGCTCCTCAAATTCAATAACAATGCGATATCCTGTCGGTGCTGTTATTGTCGTATAACAATTGGCATTGTCTGGATATTGACGTGGAAATGAAGGGCTCCATATGGAAGCACGCGGATGTTCCTTTGTTAGTGAAACAGTTTTATTACAATCATTTATCCAACTTCGACGTATCGATTCTTAAGGAAAACAATTACAGATATTAAAGAAAATTGTAAGATACGAATTAAATTAAATTCTCATTTCGTAATTGTTTTAATATTTAACTTACCATCACTCATGGCACGTTCACATATAAGAAAATTCTCTGCACTACAATCTCGGTCATTCCACATAAAAGTACTTGTCAACGGACTACGATTCGTTTGTATGCCAGGCGGTGTACGGAAATAACGACGCAATTCAATGCAATCCTGACTGCTGAGACCGTCATCGTTCGGTTGTCTGTTGTACTGACCATGCTGTAACCAACCCGGAAACCAATCTTTTGGAAAATTTGTAAAGAATACAGAGAAAATCATCTTAACATTTTTACTACACTTAAAGCTTTTCATTAAAGTAAATGAAGGAAGTATTAACAATTAAGTATGCGTTAAATATTGTTTATTTTCTTTAAAGTACTTAGTAATTTAATTTTTATAATAATAAAAAAGTTATATGTAAAACAATAAACCGTATATTGCAATATATAGAGTATTATACAAATAATTAATACCATTATTTTATTAAAATATAAAAAACCTTAATCAATTTTATCAAATTTATATTACAAAGTAATAGCATATACATAATAATTTAAAAAAAATTTTTTTGAATAATCTGACTTAATAACCTATTATTTCATAACCCTTGATATATCCTTTTATCATTCAATATATATGGAAACACTCGTTAGCGTGTCGTAACTCATCACAAGTGAACTTTTTGTGTTTAAATGAGATTCTTGACCAGACAGGTTTAGTTTATTCAACTAATGATGATGATTCTCCCAAACGGGGTATCCCATCACCATAGATATAATGTTCTTTGCATTATGGTTATTATACTTTCATTTTCCTATTCTGAGAAAATCTTTTAATTAAAAATAATAGTTCCTTTCATAATAATTGCTCTTAAAAATCAAATTTAATAATAATTTCTTATATAACATAATATATTTTCAAAATATTATACAAAATAAATTATTTTGTATAACTCTTTACATACTTGTGTATTGAAATGAAAGACCATCGCTCCAACGGAAATCGCCTTCATAGCTTTTATCGGAACCACCCACCCAGTAGGCGTTCTGATCCTGATAACCAGGACTGTTAAGCAGTAATTCATTTACAATTTGTTGTTGTACTTCATTGCGTATTGAAGATAAATGACCGCCTAGACTAATACAATGCTGCTCTGCATTGTACCATGATAATGATACTTCAACTGCAGATACGCAGAATTGTTGCATCGCTACCCAGCCAAAGGCACAATTTGACACAATTTCAGGTATTGAACGTGCTTGATATGACAAATAAATCGCCGGCACTGCTGTATTTGCAAATGTATCATCAGCAGTAAACATTAAACCATTGCCATAATAACGATTCCTTGCAGGTCTGTACAAGTGTATGCTAAGCATATTAGTGCTTGATTCCAGAACGAAACCACGCATTTGTTCTGTACTATTGATGCAATGCGACCATTTGGAATGATCATTTTCGAATACTTTTATCACAATTCCATTACAACCGGCAGTGCCGAAAGTACTACGCATATTTGCATTATTATTGGTCAGGAATGCAAACGAATCTAAACCAAAGCCATATACACTGTTCGGTTCAGTGTAACTATGTGTATTTCCGCTTGTGCGTGTAGAGTTACTATTTCTAGAATTTATTGCTGCATCATTGCCGTGCAATGTTGTAAAATAATTATTATCACTTAAAGTTAAATTTATCACTTGTGTTTCTATATTTACACCCAGACTTGTGTAGATGGCTTGCATATTGTCGTCATAGAGTATGCCACCATTAGCAAATGCATCGCCATTTTGATTGACTCCATTCATACTGGACTGCAGTATATCTGAGTCATTGTTGGTTACTAAACGTAGTAGTATGCGATTGCCATAGGGCAAATGTATACGAAAGTAACATTCTAATGAGTTTCGCAAACTTGGTCGTATATAGAATTCGCCAGTTTGATTGCTGGTTGTGACATTGTAACAGTAATCTACCAGTTTATAGCTGAGACTGAACATGGGATTCTTGTGAAACCGTACACTTGTAGTTTGTCGCACATCAAAATGATATGCACGATCACTGTCAGGCAATTCTTCCAATTTACCGCATAGATTAGAGCGTTCGTTGAAGCGCACATACCCACCACTAGAACATGGTATGTTGAGTCGTTGCAATACTACGAGTATACCCGGCGGTGGTACTGATAATGCATTGTTTTGTATGTTGGTTTCTGTATGCTGAAAGTTTGGAAAGTTTACAGTGCAGTCGATGCTATATAATGGCAGCGTTGTGTAATCCAATGTGCCGGTGGTGGATAACTCACGTAGTTGAAGTTGGCAGTCTGCAATGGTGTTTGAGAGTATCAAAAAAATTAAAAAGTTAGAATTGCTTGTAAAGGTTTTCATTAGTTTTAGTTTTAGTTTTTTTTTTTTTTGATTTTTTGCAGCAACAGCACGTGTTGCACTAATGCATTTTGAAATTTTAGTTCAAAAGTTTTTTGTTGGATATTTTTATTCCAGTTTTTTTTTTTTACTTAAAACAGATTTATCTTGCAAGGTCTTACCTTTTCGTAATTGAAATTTGAAGGTTTTTTTGTAGACTTCGAATTGTGCTTCGACATTTGCATCATTGTTAATGCTGCTGCCATCATTGTTATCATTTCTGTTGCCATTGGCATTATCTGTTGCACTGCCACGTATTGTGGCACGAAAAAAAACCCTGAAAGTAAAATACAATAACCATGTATTCGTAGTATAACTTTTGAACATTGAAACTTTCACATCAAGTATATTCAATTTTCGTCTTCTCAATAACCATAATAAATATCCATGAATTATGGTACATTTTTAATTTTGTAAAATATATCAGTTATTCCGGTTAAATTGATAAGTGAGTGAAATAGTGTAAACAACATGTATATTAAAATTTTTAGGATATTTTAAAATTTTAATTAACTTTACGAAACAGTTTCTTTAAATTTTTCAAAATTAAAACTGAAAACTTCAGACAAATAAAGATTATTTTTTATTTTTAATGGTTTTTCACTTTACCTATTTTAGTGTAAAATACGAAATGGAAATTTTCACTTATCAAAATAAAAGTAAACCGCAAGAATTTTTTATATCATTTTAAATTTCAAAAAAAAAAATTAAAAATAAGCAAGTTATTAAAAAAAAATATTAATACTAGCATTATTACTTTTTTTACGTGCTTCAAAGCACACTGAAAATTTAAATGAAAATTCTCAATTATAAATAAAGTAGCTAATCTTAGATTCATAAGTTTAATTCGCACCTGAATTCTATGGTGTCATCCTGTTCACAGAGCTCATTCACAAACCAAAAATTTACAGAATCTGTAGTGACATTGCCCATGGCATTCATGTGACTCTTGGTGCTGTCGCGCCATTTATTGTCCGGGCATGCTTTCATTTTTGCATTTCGAGTACTACCAGTACCACCGGTACTAGTACTGCTCCTACCACTATTATTTTCATTTACTTTTTGTGCATTTTTATTTGATGATGTGGCCTCTCTATTCTTACGCGTTACATCCCAGTAATCGCTATTAAAGGCAAATTTATCTTCATCTGAAGTGGATGTTGCTGAGTTAAACTCATTCTTTTCTGCATTCGAACTTTCATTATTCGTAGTCTCTGCCTCATCATTCGATGTCATCCATTTTAATGGAATTCTAGCAGCATCGGCACCAGCACCAACGCCAACATCATTGCCATTTATACTATTACTACTTTTTTGATTATGATGTAGGGTGTTGAACCATGAAATTGGCAACTTGTTGCCTAAGGTATGACCAACGAAACTGCCACGTTCTCTGCCGTTTAGCATCGAAACTGTTTCTATAAAAAACTCCCCAGCGTAATGAATACGCGGGGGGCTCTTCGATGATAATGACGATATTATTGTTGTTGACGATGATGGCATATTTGTTGTTAGACGTACTGGAAAATAAAGATATTAAAATGAATTTATTATTAAATGCACTTATATATTTAAAAGACGTTATCATTATTATTATTATTATTATTATTAAAAGTTCATTGTTGGTCTTTTGATATTATTTATTTTTCGACAAATTTTACAGTTAAGAAAAAATTATTTAAAAATAAGAAAGATTTAATAATTTGAATAAAATTAATGTGAGCTGTATATTAAAAGAAATTTTATAATTAAAGATATATTATCATTTTCAGGAAATAAATAATAGTTGCATTTTCTGTGATTGTGTCAAGAATATAAAAAATCTGTTTCGATATATAAAAATTATAAATTAATGGATATCAAAATTTGTATTTAAAAACATTTTTTGCTTTTTTATATATTTTTTTGATGCAAATATAAACATTGTTTGATATAGAACTCTTAAATAAGTCATTACAAATAATAATTTGTAGTAATTTGTTTCTTAACATTATTTACTAAAGGTACCAAATCATATATAAACTGCAATAAATATTTCTTTAAATAAACCTTAGTAATAACATTTCCAATATTAAAATCCTTAAAGCCATTTATTGAAAAAATTAAACCATGCATTGAAAATATGCTTATTACAAAACGGACTTATTGACTTACGGATAAGAAAGTATATTCTTAAGTTATAAAATGTACGCTTGCAAATAAGATTTTCTTAATAATTTATCTAATTATATATCATGTATCATCGTTAATAACTGATAATAAGTGTATAAGGGTCTTATATTGAATTTTTATTCAATATTTTTTTTAATTTTTCTAGAGCTTTTTTCAACGTAAAATATGTTCATGGCGTATGAGTGACATTTTAGTTTGTTTAGAAGCATACATTATATTTCATACTAAAAAATAAGTTTATGCACAAAAGTTTTTAAATTATTGAATATTTCCAAATTATATATTAAACATTATCTTAAATATCTATTAGAGTCCCACCGAACTGGCTATAAAACTATAAAAGCATGTTGTTGAAATGAGCATTGTTTAATAATTGATATTTTATTTATAATAAGACTTCTAATTGTATAATTTTTTGAAATATTCTGTTCTGTAGTTTGATTCGATAAAAAACTGATTTATTTAGTATTTTCCTACTGCGAGGAAATTGAGAAGAAATTATTATGTTCTACTTAACTAGTGTTTTTAATCGATCATTTGGCATAGCGTTAAGTCCGATATGCTTGCTTGTAATATCGAGGATATATATTTTGACTACATAAGCAATCGGGTTTAATAAAAAATTGTAACCGGGCCAATGAGTTAAAAAAAAAGAAGAAAAGGAAATATAAGCGTGAAAGCTATAGAAAGTTTAGTTTTAAAATATTAAACATACATTAACCAAAAATTTGTACAGGTTTGAGTCTGTACTCTCTTTATTGTTTCAATAAGCTGTGATATGACTTAAAAATATTATTCTTCTTGCCTTTCATGAAACGAAGTAGTCTATTGGCTCAGTTCGTGATTAGCTTTAATTACACTAAAGTGAAAGATAAGTGAAAGATTCTTGCTCACATCACTGATTTCAATAGAAACTCATAGTGGTGGCATTTAGCTTGAGGCGTCCGGAGGCTAAAGTATATATTAATTTATATATAATAATATATATATATATTATATGTATGTATTATATAGTAATTTATAATATAAATCCATATTTATATATATTATAAATTATATATAAAATTATTATACCTATTGAATAGAATTGTAGTTTTTATTTCAATGGTTTAAACATTTCAGTGTTCTCTGATTCCTGCTTTTAGCAAAATATTTTCTCTTATTCTCCTCTTTCAATCTTTTTAAATAGTTTTAATAATTTTATTTTTTACTTATTTTTAAATTGCTCCTTCTAACAATTTAATAGAATATATTTTAAACATTGAAAGAATAAAATTAAATTTTATTGTCCATTTGTAAATTCGATCATAAGAATGACAAAATATATTTCATTTATTCTTAATGAAATTTTTATAACTTTTTCTTTATGTTAGATCTGCACAATTACTCATTCTTATAAATAATTTCTAAAGAATACTGATGTATCATCTATTGGTTAACTTATTTTATGCACAGCACAAGAAAGTGATAACTATCGATTTAAGAGGTCAATTTGATAATTTTGCTGAATATGTTGCAATTTTCGGTGCTCTTGCGTTAAAAAGGGTCATAATAGGTTGATACTCGTATATTGCTAAAATTGATAAAATAAAAATTGCTGTCCCAACGTGACTTCAACATGAAATAAAACTAAGTGTGTGTTTTCATTCGACTATGTTTTTTTCTACTTCAATCCCACCGTAAAGCTGGTGTATCTGAAGGATTGTCTGTTAAAAGCCAAACCATAATCTAAACTATTAACCCTTTTAAGTGCAAATATGAAGACGATACAGAGCGTAGGTATACACACAACACTGTACACATTTTGTCAAATAGCAAACTTTTCCCTCACATCAACATAAATATCTTTACTTTGTAGTAGGAATTTGGTCTGACCCTAAACATTTAAAGAAATTGATTTGAAAATGTTACGTGAGTTGAATTAGAATTTTTTTTTCGTTTAATTTTATGCCGAAGGATATTTGAAAATGTAACATTTGCAGGTGTTAAACATTGCAGGCATATAATTTTTGCTTGACTGCGTTTTGTTACCTTTTATCTATGGATTTTATTTATTTATTTTCAAAATTTTTTCCATGAAGTTTTTTGTGCATTGAAGTGTAAATATTGCCGGGGTAGCTAGGGTACAAAGATTATATAGCAATTTTTTTTAATAAATGTAAATGTAACAATTTTACAAAAATATACAAATTTGCAATTCATTTCCAATTATTGTATATTTTCGTTTTAATTTAAGAAAAAAATTAAATTATTGTAGTTTTAATGCAAAATAAAGCCAAGCTCGCAACAGTATCTCACGTAAACACTGAAAGTGAACCAACAATTACATTAACTCTTTTAAAGAATTTAGGTAAATATGACTCTATTTTGTATCAGTCAACCAGTTTGTTGCTCTAATAAAAAAGACAATGTCTTTACTGCATATAGCAGTGATTTTGAATAGATTTTAATGAAAGAGCCCTTTAGAATGGTATGCGCCCTCTGGCGAGTGTCGAATAGTGACAGTTCGACACTGACAATGATCATTAAATCATTATAAGAATATCAAATATTTTTGTTTTAATTTAAATATAAATGTTTATATCACTCTAAATACTGTGATATTTAAACATTGTGTTTATTTGCTGTCTTTGTTATTTAAAGAAATGAAGTTTTACACAAATCCGTAGAATAAATAAATTAAATTTAATAAATCTTAAACATACATGGGTGGAATTAAATACTAAAACAGATAAAAAAATGCAATCTGTGTTGAAGCTACTACCACACAATGTCAATTTGTCAGTTGGAAAATGGGTTAAATGTCAACTGTATTTTCATTTCATTTCAATAAAATGTCAACAATGCAGTTTTTCATTCTTAATAAATGTTACCAAAAATATATCTACATATTTGACATATGAGTATGTGAAGCATGTGAACTTCTATAAATTTTTTTACATACAAATGTACGAATGCATCAATATAATACTTATGTACTTGTTGTTTCTATTATGCAAGATTTATACATATATCTGAAGGATGTGTAAATCCTTTGAAATTGCATGTACTGAGTCACTTTTCTTACTTCACATAAATAAGTTAAATTGATGTGAAATTCAATGAGTGGATAAGAATGATTCATTTATTTTTTTGTTATAATCATATAGTATATTTACAAACGAAATCGTATACTTTATTTCTGTTGTTCTTACCCTAAAATCATTTTTCAACCGACCTTCATAACAAATAGTGTCCTTTTACAATTTTTTCTTCAAAGCAATTATGTTTCCTTGTGTGTTTATGTGGGTGTTTAAAAAATAGTCTTTTAAGTTTCTAAACTAAAATGAAATCAAAACTATAAGTGCATTTATTCTTTAGTCGTGTGATATTGACTATCAAAAATTTTGATTTTGCTTGGTTTGATTGAATTAAATTAAAGCTTTTAAGAAAAAGGAGCGAAAAAAAAATTTTTATTTGAAAATTCAACAATAAAAAAATAAAAAACAAAATAAAATTCCCCTCTTAAAGAAAATGTAGTAGAACAAAGGTAAAAATAAAAAATAATAAATTTCATCTTATATACTATATACTATATACTACATATTATGTAGTTTTTTGTACTGATTTCATTATGCTATAAACAACATGAACGACGCCTCAAAAAAGTCAGGCTACCGATCTTATAAAATCGTTTAAGAACTGTTTCACACTTAATAGTTTCGGTTCTGTTTCAGTTTAAAATTATTAGCATCTAAGTTAGCTAGATGCATTAAGAGGTGAAAACAATAAGTGAAGCGTAACGTAAGTTAAACTTACTTGTTCTAAACGGAAATTTTTCAAAAGAGAGTTCATATATATCATTGATATTTGTGCCAGACAATTAATAAAAGAGAAATCAAAAACCCAACATTTCTAGATATTCAGATATTTAACCAGTTTTAAAATTTCTTTAAAAATATTTAGATAAGTGGTCATAAGAATAAAAGGGTTACAAAACAGATTGAAAAAATCTGTTCAAAAGAGCTTAAGGTAGTTCATATATACCATTAAAATTTGTGTCAGACAATTTATAAAAGGGAAATCAAAAACCCAACATCTATAGGTATTCAGAAATTCAGATAAGCAGTTTTAAAATTTCTTTAAAAATATTTAGACACTTGGTCATAAGAATATAAGGGTTACAAAACGGATTGAAAAAATCTGTTCAAAAGAGCTTAAGGCAGTTCATATATACCATTGAAATTTGTGTCAGAGAATTTATAAAAGGGAAATCAAAAACCCAACATCTATAGGTATTCAGATATTCAGATAAACAGTTTTAAAATTTCTTTAAAAATATTTAGATAAGAATATAAGGGTTACAAAA